ACCCTCCAAAGCGCTCTAAACCCTCTCAAAGCCGACGCATGCGCGGCCCCTTTTTTCCTGTTTGGAGCACTTTTGTTGGAGGACCCATTCGCGCAACCGTCACGTCCCTTGTAACGCACAGGTCCACGCCTTGCTCCGAAGACTTGATGACCTTCTCCCGGTTCTGGCAATCGAAGCGAGACGGGAACGCCCTGCTGGTGGGAACCGGGCCCCACAAATAGAGCATGTCCAACCAAAAAGCACCCCTCATTCAAAAACACCCGTTGTGTCCCGTTGAAAAACAAAGGATGGGGGGCTCCCCCATGTTGGGATAATGTTTGGGGCAAAGGTCTGCATGCGAGACCTGAAGGATGCTGATGCAGGGTTGAAAACAGAGTCACCCTTTTTCGGGACCCGCGCACAATGTCACCGAAGAGACCGCGAGGCGCGGGCGAATTTGATCTGCTCCTTGAAGTGAGCCCCGATTCGGCAGCCAATTTGCCAAAGTATTCAGAACGGGGCCCAAGGAACCTGGTGTTCGTTCCGGATTAATCAACCGGATACTCACTCAAACTGCACACCTCTCTGAGAACAACAAGGAGATGATCAACTCCGGGCGGCCACCTCAACACAGAAAGCACACCAATTCAATTGTTTGTTACCCAACACTCAAACCTGGCATCTCACCACAATCCTAATCGCTCCCTGAACTCATCTTGCATCCCCCCACGCCAAGTCAACATAAACCCCCCAAACAAGTCAACACAGTCTCATCATCAAGCTCGCCTGAGGCAGACTCAAAACCCGGCATTGAAGGGGTCTACATCCAACACCCACGGCACAAGAACCTGCAAATTCTGCAGTAGTTCCACACCTGAAATAAGATTTGGATCCCTGAGTGTCCGCAGATTGAAATGGCATCTAGGTCCTCCAGTAGAGAGGTTAGAATAAGGGTACCCATTTTTCCGTAGTCTATTTTAGTAGGGGACCCCTCCCCCAAAAAAGGGTAAAAGGGCACTACTGGGGGGCCTAGGCATCCACGATGCTACCACTTCGAGTCGGATTTTTCATGCGGGACGCTTTGGTGGACACTGAGACTCTTTGGCAGTTTTGCCCTGCCATTTTGTGTCTGAGTTTCAACCATTGAACACCACAGCCATTTGAGGAATCTCCTTTGGGAGGAGAGGATCCCCTTTAATTGGGTGCCACAAAGGGGGTCAGGAAACCTTGCAAAAATATTCATGCATCTACATATGGGCAATGCGGCACCCAGTGCTGCTTAGGGGAACCCATCGATCAAAGCAATCGGAGGCATCGGATGCTAGTGCGGTAACTGAAGGCGTCCTCTTTGTCAATATAATTTGGAAAAACGCGGAACACACATGAACACATCCGTTTCCATTTTGGGCACATCAAGGCACGGGCTATTTTGCACCCAGATCAGTTTGCGGGGTCATGTAATGCCAACCAATAACACGCACAACCACACACACACACACACGAAGCCACAACAAATGCAATTGCAACCAATGACACACTCACAACACGTAACGGCAACCAGTGACACACACACACACAGACTCTCTCGCACTCACACACACACACATCTATGACCATGGCTTCCTTTGGTTTCGAAGTACTCGAAACCTTGGCATATGAAGCCTTTGCCGGGTTCCGTAGCTTGGGGCCGGGCTCCTGCTGGCTTGAAGAGGACATATTCAGATGGCCCGAATTCAGTGCAGGAGGTTTAGTATAAAAGTGTGAACATACGTGCATATATATACATATTATATCATACATGTTACGTCCATAATGAGCCTAAATACAATTCATGGTCCTCCTTCACATAAGTGTCCACATAGACATATCTCGGCGATTGCTAGCTTGGTGTGCTGATCCCTCGCTGAGACAACAGACGTGGTGATCTTTGATGCGTCAAAATGAAGCACCTCAGTCCAAAAGTCTAAGCTCAGCTTCTCTCAACAAGGGTGGCTTGGATTGGTGGTTTGGTGGTCGAGCGGTTCCCCAACCCTCTACAGGATGGGGTTGAAACCCCCAAAGCGCCCAATCCAAGCCGCCAATTAAGACCCTGATAAGTTTGGGAACTGAAAAGCTAGGGAGGCCCGTTCATTTCGAGGCCCGCGGGTAACCACGAAAAAAACGTGCACCTGGTGGTGGTACTGCCAATCTTTTCGCTGTTCTGGCCATCTTGTTCGGCGTTACCGGTTTCTTTTCGTGGTTACCGCTGGCTTTGCATTCATTTCACCCCACCTGCCACCTTGAACCGAAAGCTGCCTTGGAGCAGGCCGGCCAGCGCCCGCTCCGCTCGGCGGCACGGAGCAGAGTCAACACCTCCCGGTACCTGAGGTACTCAAGGGCCACCCCTTTGGAACGCGGATTGTTGTACGCTGGGGCTAGTTACCACCATTAAAACAATGGCTGGACTCATTCAAGCCCATGCTGAAAAGACACCCATGCGAAGGTCTTGGGATTCACATTGCAATTATAATATTGGTGGGGATCATATTTCACAATCGTTTACCCTTCAGGATTGTCATCATCCAAATTGGGTCCCAAGGCCTTTCCTTTAGTGAACCCTAGTGTATATGAGTATGATGTTCAAGTTGGGGATCCTTTGGTGGACATCCCTGACAGGCGGGAATTTCCACGAACCATTTGGGAGGGTGTTCCTCACCAAATGATCTTCCATATTTTTCCCTGAATCACCCCAACCGTCTAGTCTTCCACTAACACTGCGCGCCCAGTCCTGCGTTTACACATTTCGAAACGGCTGCCGATGAACTGGCTGGTGCCAAGCTTGGCACCTTTCTAAATATGCTCCGCCAGCAGTTTTGCCTCACTTCCTGAATGGATGGTCCCAAAAAAGTCGAAACTCTTTGCTTACCTGAAAGTCCAGGAACTCACAGAGTGAAGTCGACAAGTTCCATGTGATGTGGGCACATCTTGCTTTCGATACAGCGCTTCGTGCGGCGGAATTCATAAAAAGCATCGAACACCACCTGCGGATCTCCCCAGTTGAAGACACATCATGCACGATTAGTTGACGAACCGCGTGATCAATGCAAGCTCCAAATGGAAGGAACCTTTGACATGTCCCTCTTCTACCTAGATGAAGGCTTTCCCAAGTCAGTTTGTGGACTGCACATTGGCCCCAAAGCCTTTCTTTTTACAGGTGCTAGTTCCAGTCAATCCTGGGGGGGCAAGGTCGAAGTCCATATGTCACGATTTGCCCATTGGGCAATTCCCACTGACTCAGATTGGATTGGAACTCGGAAAGCTAAGCGTAAACGGCGGTTCTGGGCCCAGGGTTATTGAACGAGCTGAGGCCATAAGCTTGAAACCCAAGCTGAGATCGAGGCTACTCTAACTAACATTTAGGACGACAAGCTGGGGTAACTCGCATTACAATCAAATTGGCACAAATCTCTTCACCCACATATGATGCACACATATTCAAACCTCATATAGCTACAATCCAATCCAATGTTCAACGAAGCACTGAGCTAAGTGCTGGCTAAGGATCTTGGAAGTAGATGATAGTATGTTGCCTGTCTGTGGCAATCCTCTCACTTCGACAGAATTACCCATTGGCCACGAGCCATGAGACACCATGGGCGAAAGTTAAAAAGGCAAACAGTGAGCCCGGACCAACTTTGGCCTTTGCCTTGGCGTTCCTTTTGTTGGTGGGGTGACCTCAAGCTATCGTCTGACCACAAGACCAAAGAGCCACAGGAACATCACATGGACGCAAAAGGCCGGAAAAGGCAACACAGGGCCATGGCCTACCCTTGACAGCCGGCGCGAAATGCTTGAAGGGTGGCAGAAAGCCTGGGCTCCGCATCCTCGCATCATGCCTAGTTGTTCGGGTTCTTTCTGCAATGGCAAAACACAGGCCTTGCAGTGTACCGACACACAATAGCAGTTGCTGCTTTTGGGGCCTAACTAGCAACAAAGCGCCGCGTACTTAGTTGCACTGAGCGAGTCGCAAAGACACAAGACTCTGCAAGACACGAACCATCTTGCGCCGCCTTTATAGAGCCCAAGCCCAGCATAAAAACATGAAGGGCATGCCCCAGGTTTGAAACCACAAAGCAGAACACGCCACGCAGGACTCGACCTTTAAACCGATGGCCCAACCTGCTACCAAGCGGCTGCTCTGGCACCTGAAGGGGTTCAGGCCGCTGGCACAGCCACAACATGTCGTTGAACGGAAGGAATACGTATGCGTATCTGCGTAGGTCTATACTTGGATGGTCTGGGGCAGATGGTCTGGGAGATAGCTGAGTGGTTCGTGAGCCTGGTTGTAACCCACTTAGCATGGTTGTAAGTCCCCTATCACCAGGGTTGCTAACCATTTAGCTAAGTCCAAGACCATCTAAGTAGAAAACACTACATGTACAATATCTACGCATTGACGCGTGCGTGTGTATGTATACAGCTGTATGTGCATATACGTGTAAATATACACTTGCACATCGCTGTCATCTCTGCACTGGCATGTATATGTGTATGTATATGTATGGATTCTGGATACATACACACTCCCATGCATCAAACACAACAAACACGATGCCCAACCTCAGTTCCACACCATGTTCATGTATTTTGCACGCATCACTAAGCCTGCCTTTACAGAAGCACAAACAGAGAGTGTGTATATATACATATATAGATACAGGCATGCACACATGTGTGCCATAGCCAAACTCCTTATATTATAGCCTATGGTCATGGTTCGATTTATAGGAATCATCGTAGCGGTCATGTAGAATCCTTACTGCCAGGTGGATTACCATCCCTCCTAACCTCAAAGTAAGGGGTCTTACATTGCACATATGATCTCGACATGTATGAACATACACAACCCCGCACATATAAACACACCGAGATGCGTGTGTTTCCACATACAACTCAATATGCATATATATATACATATATATATATATACACAGTTAACACCATGTCTACTTACTAATTATACGATGATCCCCCCACCTTGAATAAGGGATCCCTCGTAGTCAGGGTCGAACCTTTTACTCAAGTGGCCGCACCTGACTGCCGATAGAGGCTTTGGGACGCTGCTCCCAGCGCCCAAAACAAATGGAACGATGATTCTACTAACATGGCAACAAAAGCTGTTTGCAGGTAGCACGGTAATATTATTATCATTTCAATTAAGCCAGGTGGTAGAACCACCCACTCTGTCTGGGTTTGTGTTAATATAGGGGGACCCTCCAAATTGGTTTCCCTTAAATCAACCCAGAAGGTTACAGAGCCTCAAAAAAGGACGGACCCAAACTGACTTTGTTCTCACTAATGTTGACCCCGGAATAACAATCTCGTCGCAGTACTTCCTGTTGCTTGAGCCCCCGAAAAAATCATCAAACTATTTTCAGTGATAGATTCCCTTTAAAACCAACAAGGGAAAATAACACACTCAATTCAGCAATTGGAAGATTCATAATTCAAGGGATGTGTCCCTCCAAAAGGCGTGACTTCCCCCACCCCAAAAAAACAATACATAAACAAGTCATAAACTGAATACAATTAAATACAAACCAAAAATCATCGGCGAAGCCGGCTCTGCCTCCGTTAGCTCCGAAGGCGTCGCCGGCACTTTGCCTTCGAAGGCGGCGCTTTCTCGCCAGCGCTGCGCCAGCGGAACCTCTCGGCGCAGGCCCGAACCCGTCGGGCCGAAAAGCGACACTCAGGTGCCCAGTGGAGTTCCATGGGAAAGAAAGGGCATCTTTTTTTTAAACCTTTTTTAAACTTCAAAGGGGAAACCTTTCCCACAAAAACAGGGGCGGAATCCACAGGTCCACCTTTTTGGGTTGGTTTGGGGTTTAAGGGGGAACCCTTCCCACAAAAAAGTTGAAAAAAGGGCGGAATCTACTGGGCAACTGGGGACAAATCTGTGAGTTGGGTTTGCTTAGGTCCACTGTGATCGATGAACATGACGCATGTGTGTTTGGGACCAAAACGTTACCCTTTGCAGCGGTGATCCTTTTAAAACCCTCAAACCCACAGAATGTCACTATGTGTTCAATGACCCCACAGGCAAGGCAGCGCGGATGGGGCAATCCCCTTGCAGATTCACATGGATCCAGAAAAAGTGAAGTGGCCAGGCAGTTGCTCGAATGCCCTTCCTGGTCGTTGCACCTTCCTTTGGGATTGAATGGAACTGGGGCATCAAGGCACGGCAACGTAATCGAGCTCGGATTGTCACATGGTCGGAATTCATGATTGGAGTGATTATCAGTGAAAGCTGGCTGCCAATTGCTCCAGTCATGTTGGACCGCCTTCAACACAGCCGCCCCTATGCTTGACAAGCTCCCCTGTTGGCTGTGGCTGGATGGAAACAAGCTAAGATGTTGCCAGCTTCATCAAGGTCGCACGCAACACATTGTGGCCAATGACCACTCAAACCTGTTCTCGTTTTGTATCGAAATCTGCGATCATCTCCAACATGTGGACAGGAATGTTCCCAAATTCCTCAGGTGTGAATTGTAAGTAGCGACCTTTTAAAGGTTGTACCACCTGGCAAATGGAAAATACACGTAAGAAAAGTCCAAACCATTCCAACTTTGAAACAATACATAGGCCAGTGATGACAAGCTAGCAACGTGCCAAGAGAAAGAAAGTGAGAAACTGGATCTAAAGACAGCTGCCCAGCCAAAGCAAACGGACAAACCCCCAGAGTGTCCCCATGGACTACCAACTGAGGACATACCCAGAAGCCACGGTACGTGGCAAGTGGGTATGTGGGTGTTGATCAATATTTGTGGCCCCCAAATGACCATAGGTAACTTTTCGAGGGAATATCATCTTTTTAGTTGCTCTCCCCAATGGTCATCCTATGTAAAAGGACCTTTTGATCAACCCTCATGTGTCAAAGGGGGATGGAACAAATGGTGGTTTAACTAGCTTCCCTTCGACCCAAGGTGAAACGGGTACTCCCCAAACATAACATACACACAGTGCATAAGTTGTGGAATCCCATCCGGGCGGTAGGTAGAAGGCGGGTAGTTGAGAGCCTTAGGTTTCCTCATGCGCCCTCGACCCCTCAGGGATTCCCTCAACAGCACTCTGGCTGAGCCCGGCTCTCGCGACTGAACTCGGCGTCGGGCCAGCTCTTGGAACCACTTCTCAAAGACCTCGTCCAGCACTTCTCCTGAGATCTTCTCCTCCACCTGCCAGACTCAGACACCCGATTTCTGCTTCCACTCTTTAGATAAAGAGGAACCTCAAATACACAAATCAACTAAAGTACTAATGCAGCTACTGTAACCTGATCTTGTTCTAACAACATACACCAATATCATACCTCACAATATCCCTCTAACTTTGTTTATCCCTGGCACCTTGCATGTACCAGTTGCATGGCCTTGGAGCCTTGGCTGCACAGTCTCACCGAGTTTTCAAACCAAGATCAGCCCTGCAATTGGATTCGCCAGCACGAAGAAGTAGGTGAACGGCATTCGCCAGCCTTCCGACCTTCAACCCGAAGAAACAGGAATCATATTCGGCTCAGTTCGCCACGTCACCCGGCGCAAGACCGCAAGGAATCGCGCGGGCTGAAGTCTATTGCTTAGCATAACCGCATTTTGGTGCAAGGACAAAGGCTGGCATGCCAGGGCGCCTGCCGTTGGGATCAGTCTGCCAAGAAAGAAAAGCGGCAGCAACTTATAATCCCCAAGCAAAGGATCTTCATCATGTGAGCTTGCCTTGCCCCCAAATTGGTGAGCTCGGAATCAAATCGGCGGATGGTATGCCAACACTCCAGGCATCGCCTTCCTCTTGAAGCTTTGTGCTTCTTCGCTTTCGAAGAAGCAGCGAAGGAGGTGATGAACATCCTTTCCTGGACAGCTGAGCAAAGCAACAAGCTTAAGGCCTGTGAACAAGGCCCCGCTGCAAACACAGAACCTCTATGAAGAGGACGATGCCATGCTTGGCTCCGAATGCTCCTTGTGGGCATTAGAGACAGCATGATTTGAGACTGCAACCTCCCTCGCCGCTGTGCATGGCCCTGCTAGCACTCAGTTTCTGTGCCCGCCGGTTCGTCGGCTGTTCATGCCCCAGCGTTGATTTTGTTCCTGGCTGTCTAGTTCCCCCGTTAGCTTCCATGTCAATCTGCAGGAGACTGATCCTGGTGCTGCAAAAAAAGTCTGGACAAGTTAACACAAATTAATCCCCTTTTGGGTTCTTGTTTGTTTCTTGTTGTTGTGTTTAAGGCATGGGCTATTGAGCATCCATGGTTCTCAAGCCCGCCATGAACCTTCCTCAATCCCGATAGGGCCTTCTGTCAAAAACAGGTAACAGCCAGCGGTTCATCTGCAAAAAAAAAGGTTAGGGGAAAGGTCTCGTCATAAATGGACAAATCGTATCATTGAATCTTTTGCAAACTTTTGCGGCTTTACACTCTTGATTGGCACGGAACCCAAACCGTCGTTCTTGGAGCACTCCCTGTTTCCCTATGCTTACAAAGCCTATCTAAAAATAGACGCTGTGACAACCCAGGTTTTTGACAAAGTATATTTTTGATGACTAGCGTCAGCCTCAGTTTTGGACTGGAACAAGGGCTATGCTAGCTTCTATCTTGCTATCCCACTTTTTGCAATGCTTGGTTTCTGAACATGTCTATACAGGGCGTGAAGGTGAACCCTCTGTTCATTTCTGTCTTTCCGGCCCACCCCCTTAGCCGAACCGAAACAAAAGAAAGAACAAAAACAAAAAACAAGCGGGGGACAGCCTGGATCTCTACCCACAGCAACCATTGCAGATCTTGATCCTCCGGGTCCGCTGCGAAAACGTCCGTTCTTCTCCAAGCAATTGTGGTTCTACACAACCAAATGGTGGTTCTACGCCAAAAGATAGTGTTCCTAAGGTTCTTCTTTCAGTGTGAAAAAAACAAAAACACCAACAACTGATCGTTGTTCGTGCCACCTACGCAACATGCAGAGGCAAAACTATCATCTGCCACAATCAAGGCCTGTCCGCGCAAGACTCTCAGCAAGTGCGTTGCGCAGACATAAAAATGGATCTCAGGACCCTATCAAAAAGAATTGTGTGCTTAGCTAGCAGATAAATATTTGGCTCCCAAGGCTACTTAACAGGTTGCACAAGCAAGCGTGTTTTTCGAGAAAAAAAAGGCCAGGTCAAAGAAATCGGGTTGTAACTGCAGAAAATAGGGGTTGAACAACCCCTATTTACAAAATAGTCGAGGAAGCATAGGGGTGTTGGGTTGCACGTAAATTGGGCGTCTTTAAGCAGTTGTTTGTTTTTGTTAGTTCGGGTTTGAAGGGAAACGTGCAAAAGAGCCCTCCAGGGTCCCCAAGGCACACCCACATGGTGTCAACCATAAAACGGATGTCGGCTTTCCTTTTGGGGACAAAATGTTCCGTGTCTGTCGCATCTAGTCCTTCCCAAACTTTGAAATCGGGGTGGGGACTCGAAATCCCAGATACGAGTGCATCTTTGTCTTCCTTGAGGGTACCTTTTGTTTGGTGGTTAAAGAACACCAAAAGGAACACCGGATTCTGTTTTTCTTTTGGGGGGGTCTTAAACAAGCCACACACGAAAACACTGAAACCCTTCTGGGTGGCTTCCTTTTCATTCCCCTGCAAGCATATCAAGCAACTGCACTCATTGCACATGAACACCAACTTCCCCTCTTAGTAAGGGAAACAACTACCTGGAGTCTCCTTCTGACCCGAATCAGAAAGTTCACGACCCCATGATTTTGGGTCACCCCCATCTTTTAAGGGTCATGGAGACTCCAGGTCAATTCAAGGGGGGTCTTTGAACTAGAAGGCTCCGCCGGAAAAATCCGAAACTTTCGCTATGCTCAGCGAGTGGCTGTGGGTCAAGAATCGGGTAACCCCAAAATGGGTTGCTCTTGTAATGGAAACATGGAGGATTTAACCTGCGGTCCAATTCCTGGTGGTTTCATTTTGACCCACACCCAGGTCCAAAAAACCAATCCGAGGCGCCGAAGACGCAGGCCTCCTGAAACTCCGCATCTTTGGGCAGCGAGGGCAGCGGCAGCAGCCGCTCCTCGCTGAAGGCGGCATCCAGGTATGCGGCCTCTCCATTCGTCTGTTCGGTCTTGTCTCAGATATGGACAAATTCTGGCTGTCTCTTTTCAGGCCCGCCCCCCCAAATGGTGGTTTTCCTGTTTTGTTGGTGTTCCTTTTTTTAGCCCCCCCCCCCGCCAAATGGTGCGTTGTCTGTTGAAAATAGGGGTACCAATTCAAAAAAGACTCACAAACAAATCAACTTCTGAAATTAAACCCGTCACCGGATTTCTCCGAAGGCCGGCTGTGGCCGGAAGTGAGGGCCTAAACTTGGGGACGGGGGTGGGATTCCGCGAGCTGCAATTCTACAAACATTCCAGCCCAGACAAAAGAAGCAAATGATATATAGATCCTCAAGCACAGGATCTTCATAGTGAGCTCGTTTTCCGCCTGGAACTTGATGCATGTCTAGTCAACAGTCTACGGTCCGTTTGGGAGGGATACCATGCTTAGGACTGGGGGATGTTTGAACAAGGCCAGGGGATGGTTCAAGATGTTTCCTGGGTTTTGTGTGTCTTGATTCCAGTTACACACGTAATCGTTGATCCCCGTTTGGGTTTTAGGGGAACTATGCCTGGCAAGCATTCGCCTTGGTTTTAAACAGCACCCTTCGGAGAGGCTTCCTCGGGTGATTTTGAAGAGGAAATATCGATGTGTCTTAAAGAGGGTACCCTTGTTGGTTGGTTCAAAGAGAAACCAAAAGGGCACCACCAATTTTCGGGGGGGGGGGGGAGGTCCCCCAACAAAAGACACAGCAGGAGTCCAGCTTTTTCGGGTTCTGAGGGTCCGGGTCCCGGAGTTCCTCCTGCATGCCTTGCCAGAAAAGAGGCAGAACATATCCATTGGTACTTGTTTTGTTGGGACGTGGTTCTGTTGAGTTGGCCAGAAAAACCTTACAACACTCTTGAACCCTCGTCGATGATGAAGACACCTGTCAACACAAGTTGTCAAAGTTTGCCAACTGAAGAGGTAAGCACTTGTGGTTGGGTTGTTCAAGGAACACCAAACGGAAACCAACCACCACCCCCCCCCGCCCTCGGCAATTTGGAGATAAAACCAGATGGCTGCTGTTTGCTTTGCCTTTGCAATCCATTTCATCCGGGCTCCCGAGTCGAAGGATCCATTTGGATCCCAGATGAGATTGCAAGATGAACTTTACTCATGCAAACTGTATCTCCGCTGCACATCTCTCTGCTTAGCGACCGCCTCAGAAAGATTTTGGCCCAGGCTGTGCACTGGTCACCCGATGTCTCCCGGGTGGCCCGGCCGGCAGCAAGGCCCACTGCAAAGCCACTGCCAGACCGCCCATGGCGCGTAGTTGCCCAGGCGCCTCCGAAACCGTCCGACGGATGCCGGCGGTGCCCCAACAGAAACGGGGATCTTAGAGGAAGGTTGGAAAGAAATCCATGAAGCTTCGAAGCCGAGTCCAGACCCTGTTGGCGCATCAGAACATCGCCTCATGTGATCAACGATGAAGGTGGGCCTTAAATATGACCCCTGTTCTAATCCTGTTGAGTGGCACAACATTCCACCCTGGCCTTCAATTGGTAGGCAATCCCCGCAACCCTGCGCAGGAAAGGGATGGGACGTGCTATCTTTGACCTGCAAGAAGTCTAGGCAAACCATTTGGGCCTCTTGTTGGAGATCTGAGCGCCATGTCAAACTTGGACAACCAGCTTTGTGTTTCTAAGTAAGACCAACAGACCCCCCCCCCTGGCCGAAAAGGCGACTCTCGCCTTCCTGTTTGGTTCTTAGTGGGGAATGAAGGAGTGACCAAACAGAATGATCCTTTGTGATTTTCTTTCGTAGGATTCCGAGGTTCATTCTCAAAACCCCAAGGGGATTTCCTAGTCAAAACCAGCAAGTCAGTATATGGGTTGGGCCAAGATAGGGCTGCCCTAAAATGGGCAGTGTTCTTGTGGTTTCCCTTGAAACTAAGCTGACAAGGGTACCAAGCCTCGAAAGCAAACAACCCAACCCAACCGACCAACCCAACCAACCAAACCAACCAACTAACAAACAAACGAGCAAGCAAGAACAACAACACAAACACAACAAAGCAAACAAACACAAGTACAAGGCAAACAACCAACCAACCAACCAACCAACCAAGCAAGCAACCAACCAACCAACCAACCAAGCAAACAAGCAAGCAGGCAAGCAGGCAAACAATTACACAAACACACAAGCAAACAAACACAAATACATACATAGATGAAGAAACGAACAAACACACAAACAAACAAAACACATAAACAAAGAAAGAGGCACACAAATAAACAAACAAACAAACAAGCAAGCAAGCAAGCAAGCAAACAAACAAACAAACAATCAAACAAACAAAACACACAAACACACAAACACACAAACACACAAACACACAAACCCGCACACCCGCAAACACAAACAAACACGAACACACATGTCCACTACACCGGGCACATGTCAGCTCCGTTGAAACACGCTGTTGCCATCGAGCTGCGAGGGCATCCGCTGCCACGCTGAGGGCAACTTTGTCTGCCGCGGCCTGCGGAGATTCATACGGGTGCCAAGGGAGTTGGACACCAAACGTGGCTTGGGTTTCCCTTGCGTTTTCTGCCTCAAGTTGCAACCTGAAAATGGGTTTGTCTTTCCACGGTTGCTTTTTGCTCCCCTGCTAAAAGTTTAACTTTTAGTGGTTTAGTGGAAAACCCATTAGTTGGCAACAAGTTAAAGTCCTAACAGCCAAGCAAAATGCACCAAAGTGAAAATGGGTTTGTCTTTCTTTTTGGGAGACCCCAAAATGGTAGCTTTCCTCGCAGCTTCCTCGAGAAAAACCGCCAAACAAGGGGGTTCTAGATTAAATAATACGCACCTATACTGTGGATGGACAAAATCCACAAGGTTTTTCGTTGCAAGATGGTGACAAAGAGGCATCACAAACCAGGCAGTAGAACGACTAAAATGGCCAATAGGTGGGTTTGGGCTCTTGTCTCAGGTTGGTTTGACATGGTGTATCCGAGTCCAGAGGGAAAGCAGCCATCTTAGGGGTTCAACTGCTTAACTCTCAAACCAGCTCCACAAGCGCGGGATCCCACCAAACAATGACGCGCCACCATCTGCAAAGCTTACAGCAATTCACACATGAAATGAGAATCGAATCCCCCAAACCTACATCATGGCTTCCGCTCGTTTTACCGCTAAATCCTTGGGCTCGCTCCAAGCACGACAGCTCCATGCCGCACACACTCGCCCGCGGCGTTTTGCGCGGAAGTGCCTGGTCCCCCTGCGGCTGGGCCCGGCAGCGGTACACGAAGCGCCGGGCCAAAGTGTCCTTGGGCTTCAGGGCGCGCCTTGGCTCGGAGGAGACGCACTTTGAGTAGAGAGGTTAGAGTAGGCGTACCCGATTGTTTTCTGTAGTGGATTTTAGTAGGGAACCCTCCCCCAAAAAAGAAACGGTAAAAGGGCACTACTGGGGGACCTAGTTTCAACCAAGGAGGAGACGCACTTTGAAACCATGGTTGAAACCGTTGGCAAGAACAAGTAATGCTAACCTCATATTTATCAACCTCAGTTTATTCATAGGGGGTGTCCCTGGTTTCCAACCCCATGTCAACTTTGTTGGTAAGAGCAGGGGAATTCTCATTCAGTTTGGTTTCTTTGGTGCAGGAGTTCGTGCGGCCACTGTATGGGGCTCTCAAAATGAGGGAAATGGTTGCCTCCATTTGCTGCGCAGGAGCAACTAAACACGTCTCAGTGAGAGATTCCCTTTCAAACCAACGGAAGTAAAACATATTCTTGAGCAAATGGAAGGTCTCATTTGGGTGAAACCTCCAAAAATCTGGGCGCCCTCAAAATAAGACACACGCACAAACGAAATCTGCGAAAAACTGGTTGCTCATCTCCACCTGATCACTTAGGGCAGTCCGAGTATACCCAACTCTCTATGTAAGCAAAGGGCAAATAATATGGTCATGGACTGTCAAGCGCTATCTGGGCGTTTGCCTAGGTGGGTGGTGAGATGCGTGACACTCCGCTACGGTGAAATCTCAGCACTTCGCCCTCACTATCCGCAGATATCATCAGCACCACACAGTTCCGAGCATGCTGTGCGAAATGCTCTGCAGCCGCTCTCCTTGCGCCTCCCAAACCTGCAACGGGGCATTCTATATAAACCGAATCTGTTTGTTCGTTTCGCTTAAAGCATACCTCCATTTGCTTAAGTCCCCTGGGAAAAATATGTCTTGTGATAGAGTCTGTTTAAAACCAGCAGGGGAAATCAAAACATATTGTTAAACAAAATGGAAGCTTGAAAGCACAGCGTAACTGAAAATTCCTATTCGAAACAACGGCCCAGAAACCACTTCCAGCTGGAAGCCGTGCAGCAAACACGTTGTTCGCATAGACGATCCCGCTGTCCTGGTCGATTAAAGTCATCCCATCCGAGTTCATGCGACGATACACAGCATCCTCTCCAAACTCAGACTGGATGGTGATGTGATTTTCTGAGCGAAAATCGCTATGTCCTCTCACATAGCCAATGCCGCTTTCCAGAAAAAGGCAAGCATCTGCGATGATAAAACCATGTCCTCTGCGCACTCCTTCAATTCCTGAATTTGCATAGCGTTTTGCAAGGGATTCAGCTGCCTCAAAAACTTCAACCGATGCAGTCTCAAGAACTTCAACCGATGCAGCCTCAAGCTGTTGCTGGCTTTTGAATATTGCTTCCATATTGTCTGAGGCTCGTCCTCGATTCTTCCGAAGGACCCAAACAACAAACGTAAGACAAATGTTAAAGAATGTCAAACAAAGCACGCCCCGCTTCCACGTGACAGCCGCCTTCCACGTTGTCTCAATCCACGTGACAGCCGCCTTCCACTTTCTCTCAATCGACGTGACAGACCCCTTCCACGTTCTCTCAACCCACATGACAGCCACCTTCCACGTAGTCTCAATCCAAGTGACAGCCGCCTTCCACGCTCTCTCAATCCCCGTGACAGCTGCCTTGCACGTTGTCTCAATCAGGGTGACAGCAACCTTGCACGTTGTCTCAATCAGCATGACAGCTATCTTCCACGTTCTTTCGATGCAGGTGACAGCCGCTCTCTCAATGGAGGACCTGGGCGCATTCTGCAAGTGATCAGATTTGCAGTGTGGACTCTGCAGCCTCCCTTTGATTTGCTTGAGATCTTTATGAAAGCGCTCTGTCATGACAACGAAGCGCCTCGTGGCAATATCTTCTGCAATCTTCACATGTGCCAAACCCACGTTGATGCGGTCTTTGTCAGAAGAGGAATTCAAGTAAAAGCGCGCCATGTTTCGGTTGAGACTTGCACGGTCGTGAGGAAAGTCCGCCGCTTGAAAGTACCTGTCGGCCTCGTGAAACATGGTAATCAGTGCCTCCTCACACGCTTCTTTGGACACCTCGCGCGGTTCTAACTGTAACGTGAGGGAAGTGCAGATCTTTAAATCATTCCTTTTCATGAAGTCAGAGGCGTGAGGAAAGACAGCTGGTATCAAAACCTTGCCATACCAGTTGAACCACGTCTGTGCAACCTCCGCAAGAACGACTGGGTCATCCACCTTGTACTCAATGCAAATGCGACGGCTCTGCTGTAAGTGGACGTTCATAGCCTGCAAGCCACGCAGCAGCTCCTTCGAATCATGCTGTTTCGTCATGATCATGAGATGTACGCGCATGTCATGGGCGTGAGCTATTATTTTGTGGTAGAGTGCACGGACTGCGTGGTACCTTGAGTCATGCTCAGGGTTCCATTCAGATTCGAATCGTTTGAGTCGGTCGTGCGATTCAGAAGCAAAGTCTGCAGGTGAGGTATCATCTCTGGCGGTGTGCAGTTCAGCTTGTTCGACATAAAGCATGAAATACTCCCTGGTGTAGCGGTCTGGAATTTGTTGAATCTCGTAGTTGAAAGAGGTCTTCAGCGACCCCGGGCCCCAAGTGGACATTAGTTTGTGGCGCAAGGCAACGTATTTAGCAGGTACCAGGCTGTGTCCAGAGGACAAACCAGACGAGGAACAGGCCCTTGGAACCATCGAGGTCTTTAGGCTCACCAGATGACGGCCAGGTCGCTGGACACACGCCATTGAGAAATGGCAGGTTTCCGCCCATTGGCAACAACCTCTCTAGGACAACGTTGTATGCAACATGTGGCTTCTGTTCTGTTGAAAGTTCCTTAAACCAGAGGTTGACCGACTTTGGTCAACTTGTGAAGTAGATCAACGGCAGACCTAACTCCCAACTCATCAAAGGATTCATCATGATTTCTTCCATTTGCTTAAGCCCCCTAGGAAACAAACACAAAACATATTTCGAGCAGTGAAATCCATTCCCTCTAAAAGCAACAGGGGAAGACATATTATTCAGCAAATGGAAGATTTGAGGCACAGCTACATGCAGCGCCTCCGATTGAAGGTGTTCCCAAGTATCAAGCCCCTCAGATTGGAAAGTTCCTTTGGTTTCACCTTGAAACCATCCTCCAAACCGAACCGATGATCCAAAAAATAACGGATCCCTGGGTAGGTGTCAATACCCCAACCGACAAACCGCCCAAGCACCTCGGCAGGTGCCCACAAATAGGTACAAGCGTGACCAACTGTCAAACAGTTGAAACACGGTTGCGCAAAAGGAAGAAAAGAAGGGGGAGGAAAGGGGCGACACAAGGAAACACAAAGCAAACAAGGGAAAAAAAGAAAGGGCAAGCGAAAAAAGGGTGAGAGATAGGGGAGAGCAAAAGGGAAAAAGGAAGAAAGCAAGGGAAAAAAAACAAAAAAACAAAAAAACAAATAAAACAACACAAAACACATACACACACACACAAGCCCATGGGCGTGCCCCTTTTTGGCGACCGCCGCCCAAACTGTTCAGCGCTTCGGGCGCTTCGGGCTTCCGGGGCTTCCGGGGCCCCCGGCTCCGAGAAGTTGTGGAAGAGGTGCTCCCCTGCGAGTCCGGGAAGATGACGAGTCTCCGGGTGCTGAGTTGCCCTCTTGGGACGCGGAAACAAAAGGTGTTCACCTCTTGGGACCATCAAAACTGGGCCAAAATGGGGAAACCAAAAGGTGAAAAGGTCGATTCGCTTTGGACAACTGAGGGTGGGAAAATCATCCCCCAGGGTTGGGGAAACATGGTGCTTGGAATAATGCAGCGGGTTTGGTTGGATTCCCTGGAGTGTTGGGAAAAGAAGCGAGGAGGGGTAACCACGACAAGGAAAGATGTTTGCCAACCGCGACAAGAAACACAACGCGCTTTGTCCAGGGTGTTGGGGAAAGAAGCGGTTTTGGTGGGATTCCGTGAGAAACCGCGATAGGACACCGCGATAGATGACGAGTCTGGGTGTTGGTCCCGAATGAAGCTATTTTTTGTTGGATTCTTCTAGGAAACCGCTTGTTTTTTTTTTTTGGCGGTTGTTCCATTTCTCATTCCCTGCCAAGGGCGCACCAGCAAGAAATCAAAACTCATCGGTACTACAATGGTCGATCCCCAGAACATCCCAGAACCATGTAGAGAATCACGAGGCGGCAGAGGGCACCCGGGGTTATGGTTGGGAGTGTCCCTGCGAATCTTCGTATCTACCCTGTAGCAGCGATCCTGTTCAGGTACAGTCGATGTACAGTCGATGTACAGTGCCTCAGAATTGGAGCGTGATTGCAGAAAAATCGCAGCTGCTCCCTGTCACCTCTCAAAAATCGGGTTCTGAGTAAGTGGCTCAAGTGGGCCGCTGCAACGGTCGGAAGGCACCCTGCGACTGGACACTTTGTCCAAAATCCTAAGTCCAAAAAGCTGTGTGGAAGAAAACCCCCTCCATACAGGAATCCTCAGGTAAGGACCCTTCTTTTTTTGGGGTTCCTTGTCGATTTGCAGGAGGAAGTTGAATGCGTGACATGGACCCCGGGCCCCCAGTTGTCACTCGCGAACCAAGAAGAAAGCAGTACATATCCTTTTGGTGTGTGGAGGGTGGATGGGCCTGAACAAAACAGCAGTATCTGTAAAGGGGTATATCACAAAATCGGGGGACCTGGAACGGCGGCTTCTCTTTCATCTATGTTTCCCTTTACCCTCTGACCCACTAACATTGGACCCGCCAGAGGGTCCATTTTCAAGGAAGATGGTCTTCCGGGACCCCTGAGGCAGGTTGCATGGCAACTTGGACATGAGAAGTCAACCTTGAAAGGGGTACCGAGCCTCAGCAAAACCACCCAAACCGGGCAGGCGGACGGCGACAGAGCGCCTTGGAACTTCCGCAAGATCTCCTGCACAGCGAGGCGTCAAGGGAGTTGGACACCAAATATGGCTTTGGTTTATCTTGTGTTGTTGCATTAAGGCAACCTGAAAATGGGTGTCTCTTGCTATATCAGGGACCCACAAAACGGAGGTGTTCCTTTTGGGCTTCCCTTCCATCAAAAAGGTACCCTCTTGTCAAAAAATGACAGACTCATTCAATGGTACCATAAAGAAACACACACACACACACACTTGACACACATCTGCGCTGATCTTCCGTACTCTTGAGATGCCAGTCCAGCATTCACTCGTGCCGATGGCGATGTTCGTCTTAAAGCCGGGAACACAATGCTGCTGCAAAAGGTGTAGTAAGAATGTCCAGCCTGGACGGTTTTACTTGCTTGAGGTAAGACATATATCGAGAAATGCCTGTGAACGGCACGAGTTGGGGCGCTTCCTCACGGGAGAGAGCGTGGGCAAAGGTTGAGGGTCCCACACCGAGCGGTGTTAAAACACAGAGGGTAGTGCATGATTCCCTGAGAAACTCACCATGGCCTAGAGTTTAAATTGTTCTTCCATTTGCTCAAGTCCGCAGCAACCAATGACAATATGTCCAGTACTGATACACTGATAGATTCGCTTTGACTTTAAAGCCAACAGGGGAGAACAACCCATATCTCACTTGCCCAAAGGACCCAGGAATAAAAGGTGTTCACCTTTTGGGGCCATCAAAAATGGACCAAAACTGGAAAACCACAAGGTGAAAAGCTCGATTCGCTTTGAGGAACTGAGACATTCCCCTGCAAGTCTTGCGGGGCCCATACAAATTCACCTAGCGCAGTCGTTTCATGGATCACCATGGCATATTGTGGTCCTGTAAGTCAGGTCACCCCCCTCTCCACTTCGGTATCTGGTTCGGAGTCCATTTTCAGCTTGGTTTGAAAGATTCATATAGGCATGTCTCTTTTTGAGGGTACTCTTTGAAAGGGGAACCCAAAGAAACACCATTTTGGGGGGTCCCCTAAACCGCACAAGCCGCCCACATTCTGAGGCCCACATGAAACCCCTTTGCGACAACCCTTGAGCATGTGCTGGGAAATGGCGCCAGGCAATCGAGCATCCGCAAATTTGGGGTAGTCCAAGCTAGCGACCTGTTTGGGACAAGAAAGATACAAAGTGCATGGTCGTGGAAATTAAGCTTTGCTGTGACAGTGGGCCATTCTCACTCTCACGACTAGTTTGTCAGTTTAAATGGGTGTTTCCCTATCACAGAACGCTGCTCGGAAAACTATTGCTCTTCAACCATGAAAGCACAAGACCGCCACAAATCAAATGAGAGTTTGAACACCCTTTGCTACTGGGGGGCAGGGGGGTTGGGCTTGTTGAAGAGAAACATCAGGCTTTAACTCTCGCGGGGAACCCCAGCGTACCAAAAAGAACCTATCAAATCCTTTTCTCATAGTCCGTCAACCTTAAAACTATAGAAGAGGTGTGACCTTTTTCTTTTTGTGGACCCAAACAAATCCTGGTTTACCTTTTGGCTTTCCTTTGCCAACCAAAAAGGGTACCAACTCCAAGAAGAGATGTGCCACACAAATGGAAAAGCAAAACAACAACGAGGCCTCTGAGACGAAACCGCTCGCCTTCAGCCGTGAGAACTGCTCCCGCAACGTCTCCCTGCGATTGGAGCCGAAGCGAGTCTCGCCCATCGGCTCCTGAAAGGAAAGCGCAAGACAAGTAAAGTTGACCCAGGATTAATAAACCTGTCCCATTATTAAGGGTGTTCCCTCCAAAAGTGATGAATCCCCACTAAAACGGGACACCCAACTACTAATCAAACAGGGGTTGATTAATCCGGGATTAACATTAGATGGCACTGGTGAATGGAATGAAACTCATCTTTTCCAACCAAACTGACCTATAAAAGGTCACTTATGCCCAAAAAGGTGTGCTAAACCAGTACGTTCAATTTCTAACCAAGCCAACCTAAAAAGGACACCTATGCCCGAAAAGGTGGTTGTCTGTGTATATGTATGTGCTTGTTTGTTTCTTTCTTTTCTTATTTTTTTCCTTGGGGATGGGGGGGTATTCTTTTCAGGTTGGTTAGAATGAAAACCGCCAGCTTGGGGCGTCCCCTTTTTTGACACAAACGCGAAACATCAAAAGCCAAAGTTGAGAAATTGGGGATGCAACATCTTGCTGGTTTTGCAGGTAGGAGCTGGTTTGATAGGAATGAGCTGCTTGGGAATGCCTAGGAAGCCAGGAGGTCTTCTTCCGGGTCATTCCATCTCATTCCAACCGCCTGGATCTGCTTACAGTGGGATCTTACCATCCGATCCAAACCGGGGCGGTTGCCGCTCGGCAATCGCCCTTTGTATTGCTAGTTGTGCACGAGCAACTCGGCCCAAGGAGCCTGAACATTATCATTTTGTTGATTCTGCTTCAGAGATTCATGTTCGTCTCAAACGGGGAACCACCCCCCTTTTGGGGGGTGTCCCTTTGGTTTCCTTTTAAACAACCCAAAGAAGGGAAGAGAGACACATCCTCATTCAGTCCACTCAACATATCGAATAGTTTTGGAAGAGACCCCGTGAAGAGAGGGTGCCCAGGCCCAACCAGACAACTGACACGCAAGAGGCTTGCCTCAAGTGAAGCTTTTGGCAATGGAGCAAACGGTTCATTGGTAAATGCATAGTACATCAGAGGGACTCACATTGGAGAGCTTTTTCTTAAACCACTATAGCGGCCATAGCGTGCACTACTTGGGAGTGGCGCTGTTTACAGAACAGGCGCCTTTTTGTTTGAATGGACACCCAAATCAACACCAACTTGGGGGCTCAATGTTCCTCAGGACACCCACTGAAGTCCCAGGCTAAAAAGGTAAGTTTTGAGCTTGTATTTGAAGAAGACCTCTTCATTACATATACAACAAATAGTGGACTTCGGTGAAATGCCTAGATTTTGGAGCACCCTATGTCAACCCGTTTATTACAGCAGATCATGAGATCCTGCTGAAAATTGACCGTTGCGCAAATGAATCTTGGCCACATTGAACGAGTCTTCGATCATATCCTGCGATTTTCCCTTCCCGCCCTGCTCAACTTTTCGTGAGAAATATCGCCATCCGAAACTCCTGAAGGGGGCATGGCATGGTCAGGGCACTCCGGGAGCAGAGAAACAGGTAGAATTCAGGTCTAAACCCCCTTTACAAGTGTTGGTAATAGTCGAGCTGTGTCAGACCCCCCATGGTGGCTGAATTCTTGAGGACGGTTCCAGCCAAACCCTTCTGGGTGCATCTGGGTGCCTTGTTTGCCTTTTTTGTTGTCCATAGATGTTTTACAGCCTCATCCTAGCTAAAGATCTTGTGCTGGATCCATCAAAGTCACATTCTCAACATGTTCCTCTGAATGATCATTTGAAGGCAAACCACCCTCCAAAGTCAGACAACCAACCAAAATGCACGCTGACCATTGCAAACCCGAGCGCGACCGCAAGAGCTCCTCATACCCGGCATTCTGCTCCCCAGCGGGGTCCTCCGCAAATGGGCAGATGGGCAAACCCCAAGTTATAGTGATAAACGAATAATAAATGATCTAGCCCCGTAATTATAGTATACTTCTCATGTGACCATCACTCTGCCAAATGACAACTCACGTTTTGGCCCGAAGTTGATGTTCAACGCCACCAAAAGGGTAGCAATTAGAGGGTACCCCGGCAAGTCCGCTTGTAAACAAGACGTTCAAAAAGGCCAAAAGGTCACTTGCAAAAAAAAAGAAAGCAAAGGCTGGAGGCCAGTTTCCCAGCCAACGAAGCTGGCAGTTTCTTGCGGGCCAACCGAGAGTCACACACAGGGTTCTCAAAAAATACAAATACTAATAATCCCGTCGGATTTCTGTTGGGAACACTGAGAAAGCTACTTTGCATTCTTTTCAAATTCATTGGGACATTTGGACAAGTGCCACCAAGGCGCCACCAGCAGTCGCTTGGGCACGAGGCAGGTGAAGTATCTGCGAATACAGCACCTGCAGATGCGAAGACCCTTCTTCCACTTTGAGGGAAGCACAGTGCGAAGAGGGGCACAGCCTGGTTGCCTGCTTGAACATGATTTCAAACTGCATTTCTGTACTGGTTCGGTGCACTATTGTGTGTGTGTGTGGCTCAATTTGGTCAACATGACGACAACGTTCAAGTAGTACGCAAATGTCACTCGCGTGGACACTGCAGAAAAGCCTGGAATCAATCCATGCCTCGTACCTAGTTTTCATGCAAGATTTGGTTTTATCTTGTGCGGTGATTGCCAATTCTGAGCACATCAACCCCCCCCCCCCCTGCTGGAACTGGAGCCTTCCATCATGGGCTCCTTTTCTCCCCGTGGTGACTCCATCAAATGGCAATGTGTCAGAATAAGCGGACCCCAAATGGAACCCGCAAAGGGTACCGACCCTCAAACAAAAATACAAAACCCAAATTAGATGGGAAGGAACATGTTCATGGAGGCCTGACTATATACCCATTTGTTGCCTCTAGAATCAAGGCCTACTGGAAAAAACTGGAACCCCAAAGGGTTCGGGTTAAGGGATTCAAGTTTTTTCTAGTAGCCCCTATTGGCTTTTAAGAACCGCCTTCCATGCATCCCGATGGATCCGAGGAATCCGCGTTGGACGAATCGAATTTCGCTCCGCATCGCCTTGCGGCGCAGAAGTCCTTCGGCAAAGGCCCAGAGCGGCCGAGGATGCGGATGTCCTGGCGTTGATCAATGGATGTTCATGATGAAAATGATACGGAGAGACATAGGGCGCCCTGCCTAGAAAAGGGTCTCACAATTATGTTGGGGCCGTCAAAACTAAGGGCCATGCGTTGGTTTGATCAGATGAGCAATGATCAGGATGGGCTGTCCGATTTGCTGAAGTTTCACTTGTGGGTGAAACGGAACCCGAAAAACCCACAAAACAGCTCTTACCCCTTAAAGCTCCAAGCCCTGGGGAAGTTCATCTTTTACAGACATACAGCCCATGTTACCCCCAAAAAGTTGAAAAGTTGTGTTTTTAAGAGGTAAGAGCTCCAAGCTGAAGCAACCGGATGGCTGGAAATCGCCATGAGGATGAGATACCGATTCTGATGCTGGCGGCTGGCGGAGATGATGGCGTCAGTGTGGTATGGTCCAAGGTGGGAGAGCAAAGACTGGCTGAGAGGGTGGTCATGCTGCTGTACAACATATGTACTTACGCACACACCCACACACTGTGAAAGACTTACGCAAGCTCACATTCGCTGACATAGAAAGCTGCCGTACCTGTGCAAATGGCTGCCTTGCGGCTTCATGTCGCTTTGTCTCGAAAGGGACAATCCTCTTGTAGATGGTTTCAACGGGAAGAAGCAAACAACAGAGTTGGAGGCATGCAGTTTGCCCCGCCTCCGGAAGTGACGCGTTGGCTTTGGCGCACCAACTCGCACGTGCCTGCGCGCAAAACCGCATGGCTGTCAGCTTAGGCTACGAACCTCAAGCGGTTGGCACAGAACAAAGATCGGCATGGAGGCTGGGATCTGTATATATATATATATTACATACATATAGACAGACATGGATATGATATATATATATATACGGATAGCATGTGTATATATATACATAAATATATATAATCTACATATATGTATGGTTTTGAGTGCTTGTTTGGGGGTTCCCTTTGGGAAGCGAAAAGGACAAGCCCACCCTTTCCTTACCATTTTGGTTGGCACGTCCGCGGATTCAAGCAGGGCATTCCCATGAGTTGCAGCTCTGGGCAACTTCCGCCTTTCCCTGTCAAGAAAAAGCAAAAAACACACCCGAAACCGGCCGGTAGCAAATTTTGTGGGCCTCCTTTCAAGGGATTGTTTCCACTTTGGTTTCCTTTTTGAAAGCCAAACTTGTTGCTTCGCTCAAACAGAAGCCCACATGGGGGAAACCCCGCTGAACTTCCCGTCTCAACTGCCTCTTCCGGGACCACCTCGGTGCTCAGGCTGAGCACGTCGCACGCCTTTGGTAGATCCTGCCGGCTTCAAAAGGCGCGCGCGAACGTGGCAAAAGACAAGCCGATCAACTCGGTGTCCCCCAACAGGGATCCGGATGCATTATACACCTGAACCTTGCAGCTTGTAAATGGTGGTTTCCCCTTATTTTGGTGTTGAAAAAGCAACAAGTCATGGGCAAAATGTATCTGTTAAGGAGCTCTTTCCAATACTGGAAGTGGACAGCGAAGTCTTGCATATGCTGAGTACTCATAAGTCATCATGTTTACGCCCCCTCCTTCTCAGACCATGTGCAAGGGATTGCTCATGTTGCTGCAATGCTTGAAGGCTTTCTGCCAAACAAAAGCAGAGAAGCATCCAGACATGCCCACAGCTTTGTGGCTCCGAAGGCGCCGGATTCGGACCCTGACTGGAATTAGAACCCACCACTTGGGTGACATTGGAAGAGCAAAAAACCTATTCTTAGCAGTTAAGTGAGGAGTTCCCACTAAACCACGATAAGACAAAATGCAACATGTTTCCCCAAACCATGACCATGTGTGTGAAAATGCGCGGCGCGTCCTTAAAAGATGGACCTCCTTTCGGTTCGTGTTTGCAGGGTCATGGCTCGTGGACCCGGAACAGTCCCCGCCTCGGCGTCTTTGTCCGAGGCAAACGAAGCACCGGGCCTGGCGGATCGATGGCTCAGAATTCGATCCGC